TTTTTTTACAGAGAAAAAGGGAGAGGGACAGAGAGCTAGAAACATCGATGAGAGAGAAACACCGATCAGCTGCCTCCTGCACGCCCCCTACTGGGGATGAGCCCGCAACCCAGGTACATGCCCTTGACCGGAATCGAACCCGGGACCCTTGAGTCCGCAGGCCGACGCTCTATCCACTGAGACACACCGGCCAGGGCTGTGTCCGGTTTGGAAGGGTTTTCAATGCCGCTGGGAGGGGACAGACTGGAGTGGGGTGTGGACGGAAAGGGGGCCACGTGCTCACCTGACGGGCACAGGGGAGGCCTGCATGGCCGCCCTGCAAACCCAAGGACCGGAAGTCACCTCAAAGGATGGTCTGAAATTACAACTTTAGCTAAAAGAAGCGTGTGGTGCGTAGCCCTGTCCTAGGCCAGGATCTTCCCTGACAAAGGTCACTGTGATGTTTTGTTTGTTTAATTTTTTTACTTGAAAAATCTTTATGGTTGAAAGTATAAAATATGTCCCCTTTTTCAGCCTATTACCCACCCCCAGGACTCCCCGCTGGGCAAAAACGAATTCTCGGGGCCATCAGCTCCTTCATTGTTATGGTCATCACGTTCATTGTTGACTGTTAACAACCCTTTACCCAGCAAAGCACAGGAAGTCTGTGTCTAGCATTTCACTTTTTATCCAATTCCCAAGGGTCCCCCTCCCCTTTGCTTTCTCCTGCTTCCCTGATCAATCACCAATGGATTTCACCTAATACACGTACCTCTCCTGTTTTGATTGTAATGTATAAAACAAGGTGACCACTTAACCGGTTTGGCTCAGGGGATAGAGCTTCGACCTGCGGACTGAAGGGTCCCGGGTTCTATTCCGGTCAAGTTGCGGGCACATCCCCAGTAGGAGTGTGCAGGAGGCAACTGATCGATGTTTCTCTCTCATGGATATTTCTACCTCTCTATCCATCTCCCTTCCTCTCTGTAAAAATTCAATAAAATGCATTATAAAAAAAGTAAGAATATAGTTTTACTTTGTTGCTGTATCACCTCTCTGTGCTTGCAAGCTCACTCTCCCGGCCTCCCCTGAGCCTTTCAGGTTATCTGTCAGGTGGATAGTTTTTGTCCACACAACTGCGGCAGAGAAAGGGAGGAGATGAGGACAACTTGAGGGTTTTTGGTTCTACCAGCCAAACTGATGCTGGCCCTGTCAACTGGGCTGGGGAAGATGGTAGAAGGTTAATTTTGTTGGAGAACTTCAGAAGGTTCTTTTGGTCATTTTTTAGAAATTTCAACAGTGAGTGGAAATATCCAGTGAGGAGCTGGTCACATGGTAGGGTCAGGGTGAGGGTCAGGGTCAGGGGAGGGCTCCGGGATGGATACATGCAAAAGTGGTAGCTCTTTTGCACCAGGGCAAAGCAGGCAGAGCTGAGGGAGGGAACTTGGGGTGTGAAGATGGGAAGTAGCTAGAGGTTGCACAGTGGTGTGCAGACAAGAGGATGTTTGAGCTGATGGTCCTGGGCGCCTGTGTGTGTATCTAAGGGTGACACACAGCCCATGTTTTGCTGCGTCCTGCAGGAATGATCTGGGACATCCCCGTGGATTTGCGGGGCAGGAATGATGGAGCCCTTCTGGCAGGGCCCAGAGCTTAGGTGGCATTTACCTGCCCCCCTCCCCTCCCTTTCCCCTTGCCCTGCCTGTTGTTGTGAGGGTGATAAGAGTGGTTAATGGGACTGTGATGAGAGAGCAGGCAGTCCTGGCACCAGGGCTGGGTGTCTTCTCAGAACTGGGGTCCCTGGAGGTGGTGGGTTGTGAGGAAGAGGA